GGGGGGGGGGGGGGGGGGGGGGGGGGGGGGGGGGGGGGGGGGGGGGGGGGTGAGGTGCGCAAACAAGAAGGGGCTATGGAAGGCAATGTGGCCCACAGCATAGACACGGTCCTCGGGTTCTAGGGCGAATAAGAGCCCGTGGCAGATTGCCCTCCCTGCCTGAGAGGTACGGAGGAGGAGGCGTGTGCCATATGTACATATGTGCGTCACATATCCGTGAGCCCCTTACTAGCCGAATAGCAACCAACACTTGCCAGCGGCGACGATGATTGGTGCAACGACCAAGAAAAGAACAACATGAACCAAACCAAAAGAATGGAAAAATCACGTGATGGTGATGCGTGAGTCAACCGCACCTCTTCCTCCTCCTCTTCCTCTGCGTCACCCCCTTCTCCCTCCTCCCCGGCACCCCCATCCTCCTCCCCCTCCTCGTCGAAATCGATGAGGTTAAACGTCTTCTTCCCCGCCGACTTATTCTTGTTCTTCTTCTTCGCTTGGGTTGCCGTTCCTCCTCCTGCTCCCGCCGCCGTCGCCGCCGCCGCCGCCGCCGGTGCGGGGGCAGGCTGGGGCGCCGCCTCTGCTAAGGGAAGGAAGAACGCGATAATAGGGGGTGGGATAGAAACATGAAGGTGGGCAGGGGCTGGGCGTTGTCATGTGTGCGTCCCTGGGTTTCCCTGAAATTCCGGGCAGCGTCTAGGAGGAAGCACAGGGGTTAGGTCCTTGACAGCCCCACCCCGCATTCCCCCTTGCAACAAGAAGGGGAAAGTGGAGGAGGGGGGGTACGAGATGGAAAGTGGGGCGAGGAGACAAAAGATAATCGCACCCCACCATCAGTTAAGAGAGAGGGTCAACACCAATTCCCAGCGACCTCAGAGCGGGCTGACTTCTGTCTCTACAACACGTTTACCCAAGCTTGCTTCATCCCATCCCAACCAATTTTCCCAGGAGATTATCAAGGTGTTCCGTCCCGGCATGCAGGTTGACCCGGGGGGCACAGCAGTATCACGAATATCGAACACCCCCCCCCCGCTTACCTATGGCAAGGAAGACGTCCCCTTCATTGGCGCTAGACCCGTCCTCAGGTGCTCTTTCTGGCGATGAACCTGCTTACATTTTCGTGCACGGGCAGGCATTGTTGACGCAGAAGATGGCAGAGCCATCTCGTCGTTCCCATTGTTGGTGCGGCTGTGCTGTTGCTGCTGTTGAAACAAGGCGCAGCAGTTGTCGGGGTTGTTTTTCTTGCACCACTCCCAGCAAGTGTAAACATAGGTGCAGGAACCCCGTAGGAACGATGGTGCCGAATGAGCTTTCACGTATGCATGCCAGAAAAAAGAAGAAAAAAAAAGTGCCATGAAAAAAAGTCTTACGAAAGCATTGCACGAGCTCAGAACAGGCGAGTACTGCCGTGAGTGCCAATCTTTCTGAGCAATGTTTTTCTTTTGTGCGTGTCCGGGATCGATTGGTGAATACAGCAAAAAGACAAAAACTGCTGTACCCTGTGTACAGACGTAGCCAGCGACGGTATCGCAAACGGTTTAGCAAGTCCTTTCGAGTGATGAAGGGCAATATGCGAAAACGTCAAAAGAATCCCGCACGCGCAGACCACAGAACAAGCAAAACGGGTAAGCTTTCTACAACGGCAATATGAACCTCTCGCTCTCCGCACCCGTGCCATCGCCACCAATGTCCATAGACATCAAGTCCAGTATATCCCCCCCGCTGCCGCCTGCCCCCTCCGACTGCACGGGTAATCCGCCCCCTACCCTTTTCGGAGAGGGCATTGCCCGCACCATTAGCTGCTGCTGTTGTGACGGAGACAGCAGACAAGGGAGGAGGGGCACAACAAAGATATTGCAGATGGCATCCACCACGAGTCCTTTCGGGACAAGTGCTGCACCGACAACGCCGAGCTGGGGTTCAAGATCATGCCCTCTGACGGCCACAAAGCACCGCACGCTAAAACGCAAATGGCGCCTCCAGCCACTCTGCCGCCCTAGACTCGGACGGCAGCAAGCAATGCAAACACTACACATGCAGTGCCGTTCACTTCATGCCATCGGTGCTTCGTGAGCTGCACTTGCCCCGGCCCAAGGCCCGTGACAAACTCGGCACGGACATTCCACGAGGTAAAGCAGCACAATAGTGGTACCGATACATCGCCGCAAGTGACAGCAAAAAACCACCGCGCTACATCGGGACCTGCGCTATTGGGGGAGGCTCGGTTGTTGTGCCCAGGAATTGTTTCCGCGAAAAACATCAGGAACCGCGCTGCTCGGGACCGGGATACGATATATCGGGACCACTATTTGTACTGCACTCAGACGTGGAGGCTGGAGATAGAGAGTGGCTCTTACAGAGGCGCTGTCGGGGTTGTCGCTGTAGGGCCTGTAGCTCGCGTTTCCTCCACCCTCACCGCCCCCCTGCTCCAGCTCCTTCAGCCGCTCCTCCACGCCCAGAAACACGGTCGGGTCGACGGCTGTACCCGCCTTCTGGTCACCCTTGTCGATTCGTCGCTGATTGGTGTCGAAAAAATAAATGGGATGGCAACGGTTGGGGCAGGGGGGGGGGGGGGGGGGG